ATCATACAGATAATTATATGTACTGAATGTGATCAAATGAAATAAAGGAGTTTCCCAACAGCGACAAACCCTCACATCGTGCCAAGCACACTCACATTCACACCTACGGACAATTTACAATCACCAATTAACCTCCGGAGAACCCGGAGAGAACCCACACTGCACGGGGAGAACATGGAGACTCCACGCAGAAAGGTGATGCGAACCAGGGATCTTCTTGCTGCGAGGCAATGGTGCTAACCACCGAGCCACTTTGCAACCCCCAAAAATATATTTATTTAAAAAAAAAGAAGAAGTTCATGAGTTACAAGCTATTTCCTTCATGAGTTATAACCAACTGCTTTAGTGGTTTTCATTAATTATAGAGAAGCATTTGTACCGTGTTGGGTGCACCTGTTTGTTTGCCTTCTTAAGATTCCCCCAGGAGGTCATAACACCCTCCAAAATATCCTTCTCTGTGCTTTTAACAATATACTCCACACTAGCAGGCTCTGAGGATGTTTTAACTCTGTAAGAATTGACCGTCTGTCTTCTCAGTCAGTACACTCACCATGGTGGGCAGACGGATGTTGGCTAGACTGTGGATCAGAGCCTGACTGAGGCCAGACAGCTCCAAGAACAAGGCCTCGTTCCTCTCTTCAATCTGTTTATTCTCCTCCTCTATGCTCTTTAGGTTCTTCTCCATTGAAGAAATCTGAAGACACAGAACACATCTCGTCAGACATCTTTAAAATGACCGTCTATGAAAAATGATCTTTGGGTTTTTCTCGTAGGTTAATCAAAGCAACTGGACTTGCTTGAGTTCCTTGAAGACGTTCCACCTCTCATCCAAGAGGCTTCATCAGTTCTGACTGACTAGTTGGGAGTTCCAGATACTGATATCCTGAAGGAGCCATTAACACCTGAGTTTCGGTTTCAAAGTCCAGTTGCTACGATTAATCTACGAGAACAACCACGACCTGGACGACTGAGAATCTCCACAGACACGTTCTTTGGGTTTCAATCAATGTTTTAGTGTTTTACTGAAGAAAAACTTACAAGAGCAACTCATACATAACATCCAGCTCCACCATCTCACAGCAGTGGATGTATTTTAAGACACGTTCAGGCAGCGGTACACTGAGTGAGCTTCGTTCACCTGAGTGTGCAGGTTCATCATGTCGGCCTCCATCTCTGAGTTGGACTCATTTAGCTCGTTGATCTCTTTGTTGAGCTGCTTAATGTCCTCGTCGTTGTCCAAAACTGAGGGAGCACAACAGCACAGTTAGCAGATAGAATGCCAAGACCAGTGCCAGTCCTGGTCTGGCGGTCACACGTTGCTGCTGCATGAAACATTACATTCGTGTCCCTGTCGAGCCTGATGGATGTTATGTCTCCATGTCCTAATGTCAGCAAGAACAATAGCAAAAATAGTTTAGAAGAGAGGAACCAGCGCCGTGTCTTACCGTCACTGGCTCTGAACTTTGCAGTGATGTACTCGTCTCCGGGGAACTTGGCTCTCTTCTTGTTGGCCGACGCTCTGGGACAACCTGACAGACTGAGAGAGGCAACGGATCAGGATTCACAGCTCTTACACGTCGAGGATGTTCTGATTTAATTCAGTTTCATGTACACAGCGCCAGTTCACAAATCTCAGGACGCTTCACACAGTGAGGTGAAGACTGTACAGTGATAGACACGGAGATGCATGTGGAGGAGGAGTGAGGTGGCTTTCTTTAGAGAGTCTGTTACATCAGAAAACCAAAGAGTGTCCTGAGCAAGGCTGGATTCACCCATCAGAGAGCCCCGAGGCAAGAAGGACTTAAACCTGTGTTATTATTTCTGCCTGGGCCCAGATACTGACCACTGGCCTGTACTAGACATAACTAAAATGTGGCAATATGATAAAGATAAGGATTATTAGGAGGCTATAATACATGCTTTTAAACTGCTTTAAGCTAATATTCACCAGACCTGAACCTGAACAGCCACATTAAGTCAACAACATCAGCACCTTTTTATCATCTAAAAAACAACATCAAAGCTATAGGGTCTAAGCCAGACTTAGAGAGACTAATCCAGCTGCTCACTGGCCTCTAAACGAGCTGTAAGACGGCTGCAGTTGATCCAGAACGCTGCTGCTCGAGTCCCGACTAGAACCAGGAAGTACGACCATATTAGTCCAGCGCTCAAGTCTCTGCACCGGCTTCCTGTCGCTCAGAGAAGTGACTTTAAAACAGCAACAAGTCTCGTCATGGTCCAGCACCAAAGCACATCTGAACCATGTCGGGCCCTGAGAACCTCAGTGAGGGTCTCCTGCTGGTGTCCAGAGTCGGGACCAAACACGCTGAGGCTGGGTTCCAGGTTTATGCAGCTAAAAACGGGAACTGGATTTCAGAAGATGTGAGACAAGCTGGAAGTATTTTAACTGCACTCTTCTAATTAATGATTATATTTATGTTTTTATGGATTGGTTTTATCTGCCTCTTTGCTTTTAATGTAACTAACGATCGTGTTCATGTTCTGTGGACTGATTTTATCTGTCTTCTTATACTTTTGTGTGAAGCTCGGCTATGAATTGTGGCGTACATATAAACCTGCCACATTAAGACCTTGAACATTTCAGATTCAGTGGTGCCTAATTTAAAAACCACACTAACATTGTTATAGACTCCAAAGAGGGATGACTAATGACTTTAACGTGTGATTGCTCAGTTCAACTGGTTAACAAACAGGTTTCAGCCCACACACATCTCCAACGCACATGTACACAAATCTGTCTCCCTACGGTTAAATGGCCTTTAACATTTCTATCTGCATTGCTAACAACTGAGGCTATAAAGCGTGTTTTAATCTGCATTCCTCTGCTTAGATTGAAATCACTGGAGGTAAAGTTTGGGGGTAAAACAGTTGTCTGTGTGCTGAGACTTCAGGACATTCAGGAAACCTGCGGTGTGTCAGGAAGCTGCCGTTGGCGTGTCCGGAGCCGTCGCAGCCTGGCGTCGGGCAGGTCGGGCCTTCGGTCTTGAAGGCCTTCCAGGAGAAGGGAGTGCCGTTGAGAAGACCTTCCTTCTGTCGACGTGCTGCCAGCGGACAGCCGTAGGCACTGCGGTGGGTGGCGTACTTCCCACTGATATGACCTAGACTGTCACAGCCAGGAACGGGACACCTAGAGACGGACAGAAAACACCGTCTGACCAGTTGGTTTAAGTCTTACTGGAGATGGCTGTGTTAAGAATAACAGGAATCCAAATCTGGTGTACTTATTCTTCAAATTATACATAAAGACCAGCACATCTAAGACAAATGTCATAACATCAGATCTCCAAATGCATGACTGATTAAAGAAATAAAATATTCTGTGTGGTCTGAATGTTTGATGACGATGAGAAACAGCATCTTGTGTGAACAGACGGTGAAGGAAAGACAGTCGTAGAAACAGTTTCTGACCTCTGAGCGTCATGAATGTGTTCAGCAAGTTTCATTCCTTATGTATGAAGATGAATTCTGTTCTCGTGATGGCACAGAATGAAAAGTCAGGAGATCGTAAAAACTAAATGATTCATCTTCTGCTGATTGCTAATATCGACGATGACTCTCATTAAACGTGAGCCTATTTATAACCCTGCGACATCATACATGGGCTGCTCGGTTGGTAATGAGATGCAGTTACTCACCTCAACAGCTCAGAGTCTTCCTTGTCGTCCTTGGTGGGGGTTGTTTTGAGTCCGCCTTTCTTGGCTCGAGGGCATCCAGACAAACTGGAGGTAGAGGAGCGAAGAGGAAAAGTCACTGGCTGTTAAAAAGTATTCCTTAACATTGAGGTCTGAGCTCTTGTTTGATATGCATTTTTTTATAGAATAAAAAATAAAAAAATTATTTAAAAAATATATTTAAAAAATGAAGAAACATAAAATAAATAAATAACAATCACAAAATAGTAATAATTTAAAAATTAAAATTAAAAAATGAACTACTGTGGATGCCAAGTCTTAACAGGATAAACATATGAAATTAAAAATACCTTTGAATCCAATTACATATATAGAGAGAGCTTAAACCATGTTGGGCAGCTAGTGTTGTCTTTGTTCATGATTCACGATTTTTTTTTTTTCTAACTTTCTTTTTGGCTGTTGCCTTTATCCCACGTCGATCCCACGACTGTTGCAACGGGGGACGACAGAACCTGTTTGTGGGTCGCTGTCTGAGCCGGTTGAGCTACCAGGTGCCCATGATTCCTTTTTTAAAAATGTGTCTTTCACACTTTAATTCTGTGTGTTCGTAAAAGATTTTATCACTTGTTTGTATGATTTAGTTTTTTCTTTAGCATCATAAACACCATCGACAACCAGGAAATAGGTTCATAACTATATCCATCCATCCATCCATCATCTATACACCGCTTAATCCTCACTAGGGTCACTAGTGGGCGGAGCCTATCCCAGCTGACTCAGGGTGAAGGCAGGCTCACCTGGACAGGTAACCAGTCTATCACAGGGCTACACTTAGAGACAGACAACCAAGCACACTCACATTCACACCTACGGACAATTTAGAATCACCAATTAACCTCAACATGTTTCTGGACAAGGGCTGCAGGATGGCGCAGTTGGTTAGCACTGTTGCCTCGCAGCAAGAAGGTCGCCGGTTCGTGTCCCGGTGAGGACACCCGGGATCTTTCTGCGTGGAGTCTCCATGTTCTCCCCGTGCAGCGTGGGTTCTCTCCGGGTTCTCCGGCTTCCTCCCACAGTCCACAAACATGTTGAGGTTAATTGGTGATTGTAAATTGTCCGTAGGTGTGAATGTGAGTGTGCTTGGTTGTCTGTCTCTAAGTGTAGCCCTGTGATAGACTGGTTATCTGTCCAGGTGAACCTGCCTTCGCCCTGAGTCAGCTGGGATAGACTCCAGCCCCCCCCGCGACCCTAGTGAGGATTAAGCGGTATATAGATAATGGATGGATGTTTTTGGACTGTGGGAGGAAGCCGGAGAACCCGGAGAGAACCCACGCTGCACGGGGAGAACATGGAGACTCCACGCAGAAAGATCCCGGGTGTCCTCACCGGGACGCCAACCGGCGAGCTGCGAGGCAACGGTGCTAACCACTGAGCCACCTTGCAGCCCTTCACAACTATATGTATAGACTAATTTTATCTGTGGCAAACTCGAATATAACTAAACTAAACTACGATAAACAAATGGCATCCACAGCATCATACAGAATCTCCCACCTTCTGTGAGAGGCGTAGTTTCCGGTGATGTGTCCTGATCCGTCACAACCCGGAGTCGGACACCTGAAACACACACAGACACTCTTTCGGTTTGCCAGCACACATGATCAGCAGAGTGCAGGCAGAAACCAGTTTTGTCACAAAAAAATAATTTAGGATCATTGCTTTGTGTTTGGATGTTTTTTTTTTTAAACATTGAAAGAGAATTACGACTGATTTGGAGCATTTGATTTTTGTGTTAAAAGGAGAGCAGGGACAGATCTGTAGCTGCAGAGTGCTCAGTGAACATGTTGGAGGTGAGAGACAGGAGAAAGCACACATACTTTAGTTCAGCTGTGTGGGCAGCCATGAGGGTCCGAAGTGATTTATCAGCAAGAGGACAGCCTGACAGACTGGAAGATAGGTTAGAGAGAGAACGTCAGAAAACCAGACTGAGAACAGGATGTCCGAGTATGAGAGAAGGAAAGAGCCAGAACCTTAACTGGACTAAAGAACCAGGACAGGATTGGGCAGCACACACAAAGGAGGACAGGAGCTATTGCGCTAACTGATTCCTCAGCAGAGTAACAACAATGAACAAGTGCGTGCAGCATCTTCTAAAACCATCCAATCAGAATGATGTCAGGTGTAAATGAAACAGTCCGGACTGGAACACTGTTTGATCTGAGAGGCTTCTTTAGTTCAACCAACAAGTGGGGAGTCCTCCTCATTTCTCCACGTCAGACAGCACATACAGTAATCAAACGTGGGTGTGATGTTCCTTCTCCGGGCGTCATGAGGTTCTCGAGGTGTCCTAGCTAAGCTGCATGTGGAGAAGCGCTGAGGCGCTGCAGGTACTGATGGCTCATGACGTCTCGTTAGAACCGAAGAGGCCGTTTGTCAGTAGTTTGTCATCTAAACACTAGTATGTTATTTTTCTATTATTTTTTTAATTTACTCCAACCTGTCAGTCATGCTTAAATTAAATTCCAAACCAGCAGACTCCAAACAACAGACCCACATGGTTAGAAAGGGACTATTTTGCAGACAGTACTCTGTCCTGGGGAGTACTGCTGGAATTCATGCCACATGCTTATCTACATTTCCACAAGACGGAAATCCGATTTGTCGAGCTTCTGTTAGAGCAGAGCTTGTAATTGTTGTTCCCTTTTTCCATTTCTTGAAAGGACAATCATCAGGCTGAAAAACACCGTCAGCATTTTCCCCCTCTAAAACAGTTCTAATCAGAATCAGTGTTGATCAGTGGAGCAGAGGCTAAAATCAGATCATAGCTCATCCTCTGCAAATCAGCTGTCAGTGCAACCACTCAGTAAATGTGTATATATAGATATTAAAATAAAAAAGACCTTGCTCATGATTTGAGTCAGCGTGCAGGTCTTACCTTCGATGTGACGCGTAATTGCCAGTGATGTGTCCACTGCCATCGCAGCCTGGGGTGGGACATCTAGGGCCAAGAACACACTCACAGATCTGTCCAGTGCTCATACTGACATTCCAGAGAAAAATATGTCCTCTCGTTTATGTTGCAGAAGAATCTCGGGTAACACTTTATAATCTGGTTCACAATTTGCAGCGTGATCTCATTCATCGTATGAATCAGTTACAACATGCTGCTTCCTGTTGGAAGTGAAATGCAGGCAGAGTGAAAGAAAACAAGACTGCAGGGAACAGGAGAGGAACAAACTGACATTTTAGAAAGGATCAACCAGTTAAGAAATTTAACTGGAACTAGAAACTAGAAACAATATTTTATTTTACTTTGCTAGTTGGTAAAAGCTCTTTTTCCAACAACCTCCAATAAGTGCAAACAGTGTTTATTAATTGTAAAAGAGGGAATAATGATGAACTAATGAGGACGATGGTGGAGCTAGATTCCTTGATTAAGGGGGCTACGCTTGGAGAAGTTATAGCTGCTCCTATGTGGAAGGTCTTTAATGAGTAATGACAACTAAGAGTGTTGGAAAGGAACAATATCTATCCATCCATCCATCCATCTATCCATCCATCCATCCATCCATCCATCATCTCTACACCTTCATCCTCACTAGGGTCGTGGGGGGCTGGAGTCTATCCCAGCTGACTCAGGGTGAAGGCAGGTTCACCTGGACAGGTAACCAGTCTATCACAGGGCTACACTTAGAGACAGACAACCAAGCACACTCACATTCACACCTACGGACAATTTACAATCACCAATTAACCTCAGCATGTTTCTAGACTGTGGGAGGAAGCCGGAGAACCCGGAGAGAACCCACGCTGCACGGGGAGAACATGGAAACTCCAGAAAGATCCCAGGTGTCCTCACCGGGACGCGAACCAGCGACCTTCTGGCTGCGAGGCAACCACCGAGCCACCTTGCAGCCCAAGGAACAAGATGAATCTCATGTATAGAAGGTGTTTTAATCGACTGGCACGAAACTGAGCACTGTAGCAGGAAGAAGAGAGGAATTTAAATCTGTCCAGTGAGAGGAGGAAGAGCCACATGAGATGATGCATGAAGGGCATGAGTTTGGATTTGATTCTTCTTGATGATGTCGACCATGACAAGGTTGCTGCAATGGATGAGAATGGATCTTTTTGACCATTCATGCCCCAACAAACGGACAGCGCGTGCTGGATAAACTCCTTAAATGGCTGAAGATGGTTGGAAGGAGTTTTGGAGGAACCTTTCATGCCAGCTGTGTAGAGCTAAATGCTATCTGGATGGGACAGTTGGACATTGTAAAAGAAGGTGATGCCGTTCCTGTCAGCACGTAGGTGTAGCCAGACCAGCATTTCTTCTTTCGGTGAGCTGCCAGAGACAATCGTGTCTAAATGCCAAGGTGGAGATGATGCAAGTGAGAGCAAGAGAGAAATGAGAGTGTGGCCTCGTGAAGGGACGTTGAAAAGCAAAATTCAGGTGTTCCAGGAGGGAGAGCGGTTGTTGTTTGATGCACAAAGAGGGAAGAAAAACGTTTCCGAGATGGAGTTTGTCAACAGGTAAAGAAACCTGAAGCTGGAACTCCAGAGGTTAACGTATCCTCCGTCTGTTCCTCCGACAAGGGAGCAGAGTGGGAGTGGGAGAGGTTAAACCATGAGCTGGAGGTGACGAAGGAGAAGGTCTGATTAGGAAATCATTGCTATTTATTAGGAAGCAACACAGGGCTTCAGAAAGGGAGGACAAATGTGAGCCAGACTGTGGACAAGAGGCACCAGAAACTGAAGCTGGGTCGGCTTTTATAAGCCAGCAACTCCTGCCAACAAGTTGATGAAATAGAAGAGTCATCAGTGGAGATTATGCTACTGATATTAGTGCCATAGGGAGCTGAAATGTCTATGATCATTTTTCCTGGAATATTTCCTCGCTGCTATGCTGACAGGACTAATTTAGAATTTTAGGAAAGGGAGTTAAGGAAAAGAAAGCTGATCCTAAACCCTGTCTTTATCTTTTTAAACAGTCTTGAGTCCACAGTATCTTAGATTTTTCCAGCAGACTTGAGGTTTTTACACCAATAGGACTCAAATTAAGCTAAACTGCAATCTGGAGCTCCTCCACCTGTAGCTGTGATCAGTTATTACCTGGACTTCTGTCCCAGAGCCTGTCCACGAAACTAAAAGATGAACGTGTGGCAAAGATACCACGGTAGATTTCCTAGTCAAGGTTTCCCAGTAGGTGTTCTGGTTGACCTGCTAAGGATGAATTGAATGTGGCATTTCCACTGAAATAAAGAGCCAGGTTGAGGATAATTGTGAAGCAGGCATCTGTCCTGAAGCTGGCAAAGACGGCCAGAAGGTGCCTCTGCAGAGGGAGCAGGCATGAAACTGAAATGGAGTAAACTCTTTGGACCGGCGTGGGGCTGTAGCATATATGACGGTTCAGGTTACTCTAGAGGCAAGAAGGAGATCTGCTCTGTGTATATATTTACCAGTGATTAATAGTTGATGTAGATGCACTGAAACTGGAGACAGTTGGGGGTGATACGCTGAGAGACGGAATCACTGATGCTAAAGAAAACTAATAAGCACTGGGCTGAAGAGTAAGAATAGTTTGTCCTCCAGTGCCCTGCAGCGCTGCAATGTGAGGTAGAGAAATAACCACCTTTATGAAGTACAGATAGAACTACAGGGGATCTAACAACCCACTGCAAGTCCCATCAGCTTCTACAGTTCTATAGTGACGTCAGTGTCGGTCCTGTTCCTTACAGTGATGGATGGAGTTCAACAAAAACAAATGCTTGCCTGTTAGCTAATAGCATTTATTCTGAAAAAAGTGTATAAAA